AAAATGTTTTGAGAAACGATGTACAAATGCGCTTTACACAATTGATGTGTGTATGGATTGCGATAACAGTTGTATGAGCCCCTAATAAAATGTTAAAAAATAAAGATCGTGTCAGTAACGCTATTGGTCTCTATTGTCTTTAACTCTCGCAAACCTCCCAGTGTCTTCTCTGCCTCCACCATTTTGTCGACGCCCTTCTTTTTGTATAGTGCTTCCTCCTCTACCCTGTCCCCCCTCCAGCCTGTGGCTTTTCCCTCACTGTACCCTCCTTCCCTTTCCCTAAACATCAAAGTATGTTTCCTTTAGAGTGAAAACCTTTTCTTGACTTTTCGCAATGCTGACCTCAGCTCACAGTTGTTCTGTGGTGACTGACTCATTTCACTCGGCGTCATCTTGAGGGACGGACTCTTCCGCGGCCCTTCCACAAAATCAGCCTGGCTGACAAAGCGCAGGCCTGCTCAAGAGGCCTAGTTGCGTGATCATCACTCAGTCCTGCTAAGAGGCATTAGTAGGTCTAAAATGCTTACCCAATTCGATTTTTGTTCAAATATTTCAAGCTTCTCCTCAATTTATTCTGTAACTCCCTTACCAGAATCCCAAAGGCACCTTGCTTCAATGTCATCAGGGATTTCGGGGAGCTGAGTGATTCTTCTTCAGCCCCGAGAACTGCATCTGCTAGGAGAGGGCTGCCACTAGCCAACTGAGACAAGAGTGAGTGTCTTCACATTAGCTCAACCCCGGGGTCTTCAGTCAGCAAAGGCTGGAATGGACTTTCCAACTCTATTTTTGCATTTCTTCGCTCATGAAGCCAGGTCAGCACAAAACAAAACAAAACAAAAACCCACTGCCGCGCAGTCAGCAGTGACCCCGTTGGGCTCCATAGGGTTTCCAGAGCTGCCCCTTTTAGGAAAGCAGACCAGCACGTCTTTCTTGCTCACAGGCACCGTTGGGTTTGAACCACAGAACCTTTGGTTAGTAGATGAGCGTTTCACTACTGCACCACCAGGTTTTTACCCTCAGAGAAACATTCTTTGATTTAAGACATTCACCTGCATTTGAAAACAAGTCATCTCAGAGGGTCTCTGGGAAGAGATAAAAAAGGAAGACTTGCTAACAACTGTGATGGCGGAAAGGGCATCTGAAGCCAAGTCGTGTAACTGGCCAGGGGTAAAGATGCACAGGAAGTTCTCTGAGCCCCAGGGTGAGCAAGCAAACCATCATAAACAAGGAGACGGTGGCTCTCCTGGAGATCAGCACAAAGCAGGGAAATGCAGGGGAGCCCGTCAAGCTGCTGGGAAAACATCAGGGGCAGGTGTCAAGGTGGTGAGTTTGGCAGAGGACAGGCTGGGGGAGGGTGTTCCCGGCGGAGAGGAACTATGCAATTACAACAGTGACCGTGGAAGATTGGGGAGGGAAGGGGCATGGTGCAGTGTGTTCTAGATCTCTCTCTGGGAGGGGAGAAAAGAGAGACAGAGAAGTTATGCATGCCCTCTGTGGTAGTTACATAATCTGGTGTGATCTGGGGACTTTATAGGATTAAGAGTGAAGGGGTGGAGTCTAGTCTGTCAATCGGATCACAGCCAATGAGGCCTCTGTGTGGGCATGGCCGACTCCTGAGCATTCTGGGAACTCCTGTATTTCCTCCTTGGAGGCAGGAGACAGACTCTCTCTCTGCTCACTCCCTTGGAGACTCTCTACTGACAACACTCACTCTCTAAGAGATGCTGCACTGACAAGTCACATGGCACTACGCTGACAGACCCCGTGCCCTGGGAAGTGGAAGACCCACATGGAGACCCCTGTAGCTGAGATGCTTCTACCACCACCGGATCCACAAGACTCTGCACTCACTGGCCTGTGATCTTCCTGCATTCAGCGTCATAGCATGTGTTTTGTGAGTGTGAAGAGGACTTATTAGATTGGCATCAGACATATGGGGTAATATTGGGCTTATGAACTTGATTCTGGACTGGGCTGGGATGTTTTCTTAATGTACAGTTGCTCTTGTATATAAAGCTCTTTGTTATACACATATGAGTCTCCCTGGATTTGTTTCTCTAGTCCACCCAGACTAACACACCCTCAAAAACAATCCTTTTTCCTGGCGATGGACTTGTCTAAGACCCACT